AGACGTTATACTATATATCGCCTTAGTAAAATATTCAATATTTATTGCTTTATTAAATTTTAAAAACTGTGATCAGAACTTTTGGTATACCCTAAGTATTATGTCCCAAAAAACAACCTAGAAACCAGGGATGGGCAAGTCAAACCATTTCTCGGGTTGAGTCGAGTCAAGCTATTTTTGCCATTTTTTCGCTCTTTGGTTGTGTTTATGAAAAGAGTCAACAATAAACTTTTCATCACACAAGATCTAGTTTCTAGTTTTTACAAGCGTAAATCAAAATAGGCTACCCATAAAATAAAATAACACAACTTATCTAGAATAATCAACAAAACAAGAACAGTGAAATCAACTCTTTAATTTCGCCCAGCGTCTCACCAAAGTAAAAAAAGTGCAATGCTTTTGTAAGCAAAAACCTAGTCTTAAACCTGTTTACAAGCAAAAATTCTCGATCACCATGAATGTAAATTAAATGTCTTATTGCTCTCAAAAGATCCTAGAATAGAAATTTTAGCATTTGTAATACGTAAAGAATTTGATCTCATTGAAAGGCCACTTTGAGAAAACACACTTTCATCTGATACTAATATGCCCGTAGCACACAATTGTTTTAACATGCTTGTCAAGATATAGATATTAATTTTCTTTTAAATAAGAGGATAGATGTGGATAGGTAGAATATCGTACATCCATATGCTTTGTTGGAAAATGCCAAATAATTGATGGAACGTTTTTGTGATCCAAATATTGTCACAAGACAATTATATTACAGCGTAATAAAGTACATGACGTGTGACACAATGCGAAGTTTTCCTTTATTTTATTACATGCACGTATAAACCCTTCAAAGATGATTCAAAACCAAAATGCGACAAAAAAACATACATATTTGTCAATACGTGTAGGGCATTATTTTCGGCCACATGAATATATAGGTCAAAACAAACTCTTCACAAAATGATTCATATATAATGTACTTAATTAGGACGAGATTTCTAAATAAGTGAGAATTTAACCTAATCAATTGAGAATACTTTTTCTAAAAGAGCAGACGAAAACGTTTTTGAGAAAATGACTCGAGTCAGACAGTCGAGTCAATACTATCCAATTTTCGAGTCAGAGTCAATCAAAAAAAAGTGACTCAAATCGACTCGAGACCGAGTCATGACTTGGACTCGCCCACTCCTGCTAGAAACTCCATTACAGGTAACAGTACAACGATTGCAAATACAAGTGAAACTGTTGATACAATATTACTGTCATTATCTTCGGAGTGTGAATGTAGATGTTAATCTATTCTTCGTCTACTCATCTACATTGTAACAGTTCAAGAAAGACTATTTAGTTTATATTGAACGTAGTTTTTCTATTGATTTAGATAAGATTGTAAATGAGTTTGTATCTAGAAACAAAAACAAAAAAAAATACTTGGAAAAATGCATAAACTAAAGAAAATTCGAAATAAGAATCTTTACTTTTTAATAAATAATTAAAGCTAAATTAATCAATACTACTTGAAAGCATCATTGTTGATTTAACTAAAGAAATTGTAACTAATCTTGTTGTCAAATAAGAAAAATACAGGTGACGGAGTAAATCATAGATATTTTTCACTTTTTATTCGAACCCATCGGATTCGAAAATTTTCAGACATGAACACAGATTCGTGTAAACCACATTTTAATACTCTCAGTGAAATGATTTAACAAAAATTGGATACTTGCCTCGAAAGTACGAGATACCTTTTTCTGTTTTTTTGTTGTTGTATTCGATCACTAGGTCATCTGACATATTCCATAAATGACTAGAGAATCCATTATGTCTAAAACTTTCCGGATCTAAATCTGATTCGATTGGTTCTAATTCTCATCTCAGATAATAACAGAGAATAGTTCAAAACAAATTTTCTGAACATATTACAAACAGGGCTAACTTTTCCAATAATTTGGTGTAAAAATTAATGGTTACACTATTTTCAAAATTGATGCATAATCGATTTTATTTTTTTTTGGAAATTTGAACTTGCAAACGAAATAGTTCAAAAAATATTGCTCTATTTACATCAATGTGATATTATATTTTAGATAAAGTTTTTTTTAATTTTCTCTTGTTATTACTTTACGTGAGAATTAAAATTCTTTAATTTACAACAAGTTATATATCTTTAGTGAAAACAATAATAATATTCCTAAATAGTATTTGTCTATGTAATTTAATATGAAAAAAAAAAAGACGAGCCTGTATAATTGCACTGGCATGAAGATATTTCTAATTTTGTTATATGAAAACAAAAGGAAAGATTTCAATCAGATATGATAATTTAAATTCAATAAATGATGAGAATTGTTACTTAAATATAAATCCTTGTTCACGAATTGGTCAAGCAGTTCTTTTTATTTAAACTTCAGCTAGTATACAAGTTTGTTTGAGAGAAGCTGATAAACTTTATAAAACATGAAATCTACAGCAGGATGTCCCAAAAGTCTACCCATGTATTTCTTATACAAATTTTAGTGATTTAATTACTCTTTTTTTTACTAATATGATAGTATATTCTTTTAAGTTTTATTTTATATAATTTGGTTTACTACATATATTCAAAAATGATTACCATCCGCTGAAATACATAAATCTATCCATCTCGAAATGTTTAAAAAGAGAAGTTGCCAGAAAAAAAATCATTTAGAGTTTTGACTAAAATACCTATAATTCCTAACCAATTTATATTAAACATGTGAATCTTTTATGATTTTGTAAATTTTCCATTGACAGTTTAAATACATAGTTGACAATGGGAAATTTCATTGCAATCACCACAGTTTACGGGTTGAGTTTGGTTTCAGAATGGCCAATTGAAAGCCTTAAAACAATCAATTCAAACATACATATAATATACGATTCGATGCACCGTTTTCTTGTTTCCATTGAAAGTGATTTAAAAAGTATTCACTAGCCTTTTTTTAATAAGAACTTAGTATAATCGTCATATATCATAAAGAAAAAAGCTCTTATCGAAATTCTATTATTATGTTATTACTTGAAGCATAATCAAATATCATTAAAAAAAATAGAGCATTTTTTTGTACTATCCTTACATATAAAAAAAGATACTACTGCTCTTACGAGGGAACCATCCGAGGTGTCAAAAAACTTTTCAGTCGGGGATATGATGGTTAGATAGGGCATAGCTAGGAGTGATATACCCTAAGTTAGTTTGGACTCAAGTTGCTTCTAGCAGGAGTTATGAAATGTGAAATTTAGGTATAAAAATGAATTAGGGAAGGTTTTCTCTACTATTGTAAGGACAAAACATAGTGTTATTCGGGCCGATTATGGGATTTGTAGGGATCCTCTTTCATATGGCTCGAACAACATCATGTTTTTGTCCTTATAATAGTAGAGCGAATTGTTTTGCTAGTTGATAGAAAACGCCGTTTTCTATGAGCTACGGAAAAAAGTCACTCTACTATTATAAGGACAAAACATGGTGTTATTCAAGCCATATGAAAGAGGATTCCTACAAACCCCATAATCGGCCCGAATAACACTATGTTTTGTCCTTACAATAGGGGAGACAACCGTCCCTGATTCATTTCTATGCCTAAATTTCACATTTCATAACTCCTGCTAGAAGCAACTTGAGCCCGAACTAACTTAGGATATACCACTCCTAGCTATGCCCTATCTAACCATCATATCTCCGACTGAAAAGCTTTTTGACACCTCGGATGGTTCCCTCGTTAGACTTCCTCAAGTATATAAAATAAAACTTGGAAGAATATAATATCATATTATAAAAAAAGTAACTAAATTGCTTAAATTGTTTATCAGATATTTACGTAAACATTTTCCAGAGATCTTTGGGACACCCTACAGTTCTATTTTGATAATTTATATCACCATTCAATGATTTTATCGTTCATAATGTTCGATTGTTTTCGTAAGTGGAAATGTTAAAAATTTATCAGAAACTATTTTCGTTCGTCTTTCTCGTCGAGATCGAAACATAAGCTACTGAAATCATTGATTATCTGTGATATTTTGTCTGAACGAAGGTATCTTCATGTGAATATCTATCAAAATCACAAGTAAAATCGCTAAAATTTCTCTTTCTATCACAATTTGCAATCAACTCAAAATTTGCGAGGAGAAAAACTCCCGGCATCCTGTCCTATTTACTAATATTGCTACTGTGATATACCGTTAACTCTTTCAAGATGATCTTTTCTTTTTGTAAAAGAAATAGAGCTACAGCATCAGAAATAGCTATAAGCTATTAACTACTATAGTGATTATACCTCTTTTGAATTTAATGACATGAGTTGAGCACTTTGATTTAGCAAAAAAAGCAAAACACTTAAAAAGCATCTAATTTATCAAATTCACTGATTCCCATTTCCAATAAAGATTCCAAATTATATATATGAGCTATGCTCGGAAAAAGTTCAATTAAGATAATAAGCTTCTGTCTCAAAGCTAACTTTTATGTAAAGTACAAAGAAACTTTATAAGATAATTTGTCATCTGAGTAGTTACAGTTTGATTTTTATTAAAGAATAAAAAGTTGAACGTTGCAAAAAAAATCACATTAAATAAAAATAATTAAAACAAAGTTTCAAAAATCTTTGACAGATTTGAACATTTTTTATTTGCATCATGCATTTTATTATCAAAAAGAAAAAAAGAAATATGCTAAAAATGAAAACCAAACCATCACAACTGTTATTGATTTATTTATCATATTTCCATTATTGTTTTTAGTACTTGATTGGCTACTATTAGGTTGAGTTGTTGATGTCGCTGATGAAACCGTTGTTGTTTGTTGTGTTGAAACCGTTGTTTGTTGAGTTTCACTTGCTGTTGTATCGTCTGTGTCTGCTGTTGTATCTCCTGTGCCCGCTGTTGTATCTTCTGTGCCTGCTGTTGTATCTCCCGTGCCTTCTGTTGTATCTCCTTTGCCTGCCGTTGTGTCTCCCGTACCTGCTGTTGTATCTCCTGTGCCTGCTGTTGTATTTCCTGTGCCTGCTGTTGTATTTCCTGTGCCTGCTGTTGTATCTCCTGTGCCTGCTGTTGTATTTCCTGTGCCTGCTGTTGTATTTCCTGTGCCTGCTGTTGTATTTCCTGTGCCTGCTGTTGTATCTCCTGTGCCTGCTGTTGTATTTCCTTCCATACCTGTCGTTGTAGTTTGTACTGTATCCGCTGCTGCTCTTCTTATTGGATACGTTGTTATTTGTGTCACTGGAAAATCGATGTTTGAATTAATAAACGAAATAAAAGAAGACACTCGTGTAAATACTCCTGGATATCCTGCTTTACCACATCCCAAATTGCTTGTTGCTATTCCTGCTAATACCCATCTATCATTAACAAAAGTCATTAATGGACTACCATTATCAGCTCCACATAGACCTAAAAAATAAAAAGTAAAAAAAATATATTATAAATTAAATATATAATAAAAACTTACCTTGATCACCATTAATAGTTCCCGCACAAAATTGTACAGATGAATCGGCTATTTGTAATTGTTGACATTTACTTGATGTTAACGAAAAAGCTTGAACTGTTACTTGTTGAAGAGAATTAGATGGAACAGTATCACTTCCCGATATATAACCCCATCCAATAAGTACAAGATCAGCATCTATTTGAAATGGATCTTCGTCTTGTTTTGGTAAACAAATAACAGCTATTTTAGAATCTGATGATATTGCAAGTGGAGAAAATTTAAGAATAGCAATATCATTTGTAGAAGTGGATGCATCATAATCAGGATGAATAACAACTTGAATGATTGATCTTTGTTGAATTATCGTACTAGATGCATAATGTAAATAATTAGTACCAGCAAGAATTGATAGTTCAGATATATCACCTATAGCTTGTTCTACACAACTAGCAGCTGTTACAGCATATTCAGATGTTAAAAGAGTTGCAGCACATGTATGGTTGCCTGATCGTTGAAGAGAAATAATCCAGCTCCATGCATAATCAGATGCTACTTCCCCACCAACGTTTTGTGATGTAACAGTAGTGATTGATGCTGAACAACCACATGAAATATTTGGATCACATTGATATGTAGCACTATATATCAAATTAATGTAAGATAATATAACGCATATAAATAATAATATTCTATTCATCATTTATTTACTTTACTCTTGAATGAAATTTTGTTGCACTTTTATAACTTGAGTTGAGACGTTACGGTACAGTGCGTTTGTTTGTCATGAAACAAATACATTTTTTCTTTCTTCAATGATTTTTATCAAGCCTGTAAAGAAAAGAAAGAAAGGAAATCTACAGGTAAGTCATCATAATAAACGAAAATATAAAACAATGTACTATGACGCAGGATAATGCAACTAAAGATACGTAGATAATGAAAGCTCGTTTACATTGACGTCAAAACGTAAATTACAAAATACGATTTTTTTTCCTATGAAATAATTTTGTCTATTTGTCATCATTATTTTGAATACATAATACATAACTTGCATTACACATAAACCATTATGCTTACTTGTTTACGTGGAAATTTGTTTGCCGTTGTATGTAAGAGCACTAATGACACATGATATTTTTTTGTTTATTTATAGTGAAAGCGAAATATTTCTCTTTTTTAGTGAATAAAAAGAACTGATTTGGGAATAAAGAACAAAAACACTTGATGTTAATTGTCTGATCATAACAAGTATTCATGTAGAAATTTCGAGGACATATGGAAATATCTGTACTTCTTATGCTGCATTTTACCAGTACGATGTTTTGAATTTTTTTCATCGTTTTATCATTTTACTCGATGTTGATATTTATCTAATATATACGTGTACGTTATACTTGGTCTTGTGAAGCATAGTTCTATATAAATTTATTCAATAGTGTTCAGAGATCACCACAATTGGAGAAGGTCAATGACTTCAATAGTGTTCTTCATGGGTACGACTTTTCGATATCGGATTTGGATCAACACTCCTCATGAAATTATAAAATCAAAAGAATCTCATGACATTCGTGAATTTTATATCAAAAACTTGAAGAAAATGTCATTTTCAATGATGAAACAGACATAAAAATTGATGTTTTTCAAATTTATTGATCAAAAGCGACATTTTAATTAAGCAAATATAGTGTGTTTGATTTTTAATCAAAATCATGCAATGAAACTCATGAAAATATCCATATCAATCAATGAATTGAAATACATAATCTTTTTTTGTTCATTTCATTATCGAAAATGCTAGTTTTTTTGACTTTCTAACTCGATGGATTCTTTTTTTTTATATTCAAGCCCAAGTCGAACCTGAACAAAAACTAGTCGACATCCAATAGATATTTTCATAGTAATGGTACGATTTGTAAGCTTTTATTTCATATAAAAATAAATACTATTCCATTTCTTTGATAAACAACAACAACAAAAAAAAGATCATCTCAAATTTCACAAAAAAAGCCAGTGAATCGCATGGTATGTTTCTATTTCTAAAGTCCGACCAAATTTTGCAAAGTATATGTTTTCTTATTGTTGAAAATGCTGTAATAAAATGAAAGTATTGGTGTCAAGAATCGTACTTGTAAATATACACACATATGCTTCTTTCAAAACAATAATAAATATTCTTTTTTTTCATATTCCATTTGTCTCTTCATTGTATTCAATTATTTCATCAGATGATTCATCATTATCTCTGGATAAATTTTAATTAAAAACAAATTATTTTTATACATCTGTCAACTATCCTCAAATACAATAAATTATTTAATTTATGATCGAACCGATACTCATACGTATGCTTTTATATAAATTAGTAGTTTAAAATCGTAAAAAATATTTCGAAACATTGACACTTCGTCAATCATATGATATTTAAAAATTTTTTGATTTTACTTGTTTCAGTTAACAGTATCATTGTTTTTTTTTTTTTTTTTATAAAAGATTTTTAATATTCTCTTCATATATTATTTTAATTTGTATATATTCTTCAGAAGATATCTACTATTTTTTCATAATATGCGAAAGTTTATATTCAGCCTCTTTTATCTTCATAGATAAAAACCATTTTTGCATAAAAAAAAGATCGACACTTCAATTTTTTCATGAAATACATTTGTGATAAGTTTTTAAAACTAAATGTATAATAATTAAATCTTTGATCAGATTGGCTTCACAAAGATAGTTTTAAAAAAAAAATCTTCTTTTCGATATTTGATACAAAAAACGATGCACTATATTTTACTTCACACTTTATAATTATAATTCAAATTAGTCAGTTAGAATGTAAGAACCATTATTAATAAGGTAATACATCTGCTTGATATCTTCTAATGTTGTCTCAGTTACAGATACATATCACATTGTGCGTCGTCTTGAACTTCATCATATCATTTAGATTATCTTTCAATTTTTTCCTGAGAAATGACACAAAAATAGAACTTGTTTCTTCATGAGTAACTTTTAGTTGAATAGGGAGTGTGATGCAAACTTTATGATAGAAGAGTGAATTTTGAATTATAATAGCTGAAGAATAATAAAATATTGAAGAAGTAAAGACTATTATCGATACTATGAAAACATATAAAGAGAAGTTATTCTGATGGTTTATAAACAATATTAAAGTGTCAGTGTTATAAATTTTAGTTGCTTTAAGTAATATTCCTAAATATAAACTATTAATGAGTAAATATTTTTCCCATACTAGAGTACTGATCAAAATTATACGACCGCTTCACACATAGGTTTTTTCTTGCTGGATTTATTGTTTTATATAAAGTCAAATATGCTCTTTCGGAATATTATGAGAAAATTTGATTATCGCATATACTTATTACATCTACTCATATAAAAATATTGACCAAATTTATGAAGTTTTAAGCATAAAAATTCTTTAAAAATCTAACGATTTCACGAAAAAAAAATTTATATTTTTTTCACCTAAAAATATGTTAAAAGTGTTCAAAACAAACGTGTTTTGAACCTCTAATGGATTCTTCATCGTTCAATTTTTACGTTAAATATGCAAGTTAATATATGCAGTACTGCTTAGAATTTTTCATACAGTGTTACTAACTGCATGTAAGATGAACATTCTTGAATAGTAGATATCTTTCTAAATTTCATTTGTCTCAAGAAGAATGTCCAGGTAATCAATTTAATATTGATTGTGTGAGATCTTCATCCCACTTCTACTTTATTTGTATAACTGTATATCTTTCTCTTAACAACAATATAATGACTATACATATAGAGTGATAACATGGGGAAACTCCATTGATCAACATACAAGAAAGAAGAACAGAAGGTAAGGAAAAAGCCCATCATATATATATATATGTATGACACGAAAGGGGAATTTCATGACGCATGACTAAACAATAGGAAAAAAGAAGAAGCATAAAAGTGCATTTATATAATCCTATAGATAAAGAGGGAAAATTCTTATGATTGCATCTGAAGAAGATGCAGATCATAACAGGTTGTACTTTATAATAAGATGCTTAAGAAAACCTTATTATAACTATGATTATTTCGTAATAGGTAATAAAAGCAATAAAAAGAAAAAAGTAGTTTTTTGAACCATGAATAAAAGAAGAAAAAAAAACTATTCTATTTGTTGATTGCTTTTGCTATCTATTACGAAATAATCATAGTAATAATAAGGTTTTCTTAAGCATCTTGTTGGAAAGTACATTGAATATTAAACTAATTAGCTGAATTTTCCTCTTGATATAAATGAAAGTTAGGAATTTACCGATCATTCAAGAAAATTCATTACACATACAGTCAATAAAACTGTATGAAAAATTCAGAGTAGTACTGTTATACGTCAGCTTATATATTGAAACACAATATTCACAAAATTGTCTCCTTCTATTGTTCGATTTTATTTTATATGACGTTTCATCAATGATGTGGACTTCTTCAAACTATTTTCTATATAAAAACATACATATTTAGTTCTCTCAATTCATAATATCAATTTACATTTTTCATATTAGATATAATCTATGAGCGAAAAAAAGAATCAATAATGAACTTGAGATTGAATCGAACCAATTTTTACTAGTTCGAGTTTGATTTCATTCGTTTTTGGTTTATGATATAAAATCATCGATCAAACATCGATTGATTTTTGTCCAGATCTACACAATTTTACCAAAACAAAAGATGAAACTTCAATCAATAATTTTTCTAATACATTAGTTTACATTCAATGACTTTTCAAAAATTAGTTTGAGTTCAGTTCGTTTTCAATCTCTGTAATGAAACTATGCTCAAAACTTTCAAGTCAAACTGAATACAAAAAGAAAATCCTTGACTAAAAATAATTTATTCACTCAACTGTACATCTATATTTTCCTTGATTCTCAACAACTTTTCTTCTATGTTCTCTAATTTAATAACTCATTTCTTTTTAATCAAGACTTATTCGAATACAGTAGTTAATTATATTTAGTTTTTAAATCAATATAAAGTTCAATCATGCGGATCAAATCAAAAGTCATATTAAAAAAACACAAGCATTTAGGCTAAATCAATAAAGTGAAAAGCAACTCGGCTGATTTTCGCGTATTAATCTTGTTAAGGAATTTTTTAATACAAAGAAAGATTCTAATGATATTTGACGATGAAAAATTATTGTAAACCAATTATCTGATAATAAGTGACTTTTAAGGCCCTGTCCCCTCAGAAAAACTCTAATTTTGTGACTTGTAACTCATTGCATAGATCAAAGTGTGTACTTTCGAATGCACTATAGTTTTTTTGATTTTATGTTAAGATTTAATGATGTTACATATGTTTTTCTGGACCCATCCACAAAAAAAATCACTTTTTTTTGTGCATATTGTTTAGGTGGGTATAATTTTCTTAATAACGACTCAACATAAAAGTGGTAACGTTTTTTTTTATTACACAGTAGACAGTAAGGGCTAGGCCGTAATAGAGCCTGATTTTTGAATTTCTCTTTTGTTGAAATCAAAAACACTTAGATTTTTTATTGTAATTAGCGATGTTTTGACCATGAATTTTTCGAAGAAGCTCTTTTTAGAAAACAAATAAAGAGAAATTCAAAAATCAGGCTCTATTACGACCTAGTTCTAAGTCTACTCTACAATTTAAAAAACAATTCGGCATTTTCGCTCGTACTCTTGTTTTAAAAACCTTGCTCGCGTAAATTTCACATTTGACCAATGAATTGACTATAATTCATGAGTAGCTTGGAGACTTGGGGAGATATTTTATCCACAGTCTATACTAGCCAAGATTAACATTTTCTGAAATTTTAATTGAAATCGGAGAACAAATAATAATGTTTATTGCTGAAGAGGAAACCTCTCGGACTATTCTATAATTGTAGTCTATGGTAAGATGCCAATCATGACGATTTGTTTTGAGTGCACTGGAAATTTTACAGAAAATCAAATCAAATTTTTTAATCGTAGTTAATACTTGGATTAATCTATATGATGCTACGATATGTCGGAGTTATTTTCATAACTAGTACCCTCTCGCAGTGAGGAGCCATGCGGACATATGCGAAAATACTCGTTTTCAGAATCTAACCGTTTGTGTAGATACATGCATATGTGATCTTTCATTTCTTAAAATGGTGGTTCTCAAAGTTTTATAGAGCCCAAGAAAAGAGTCTGCCAAGGCTTGGGCCCAGAAATCAGCATAAGCAGAGAAAGTCAAGCCGTTCGGCAATATAACACAATATTCCACAAGCAAACAATATCGCAAAAAACTTGCTCACATATGGACTTCATGGTAAAAAAAAATCGTAATCCACTTTAAAATATAGTAGAAAACAAGGAGTCTTTATGCCGAAAACCTTTCGTTTCGTATATTAAAAACCCTACGAAGGAGTAATGTCCGATCGAGCTGAAATTTTTACCAAATACTCCTGAATGTATATTCGAATTACTATAATAGCGCCAACTCACGAAACCTTTTCTAGACTATTTTAGAGGGTACTCAACAATTCGAGGTCTCCAGACAAAAGTTCAGTTTTAGACATCTGTGCTAGACTTTGAATGAAAAGTAAGAAAATATTCGGAATCAGCTGGCCGAGCTGCATCGAATCATATATATATAATAGTTTTTAAAAAACAATTTTCGAAGAAAAAAAGGGTAAGACCCTCCCAGCCATATTTTTTCGAAAAATGTTTTTTTTTTTTTAAACCTTTTCTTTTCTTAAAAACGATTTTCTGAGTGATATAATGCCATTTCTAGTCAAATGAAAGCCATTCCTAAGCAAAAAAAACTAGCTGTCCGCCTGCTTATGCGAAAGCTTTCCATTGTGCCTCTAGAATGTAATTTGACTCATAACTTAGGATTGACTTGGGATGAAATACTGTTCTCGATCCTTCTGAAATCAGAAAAAACCAAACTTCATTTAATGATTCTACGTATCATCAAATTCAAAATTATTACATTCTTCATGAGAAGATCACATCAGGAATGCCAATTCTAAGGTATAACTCAACGGAGATAGCGTCATTTATGGCACCACTCTCATCGTCTTGTCTCCTAGAGCTGACAACTCTGAACTACATATTACCCATGTAAAAGTCTATATAAGTTACCACTTTTTCGTCCACGAAGACGGGTTAAAATACTGTTTTAATGATATGTATCTCACGAGTTATTTTACGGTAATCTATGCCTAATAGGAAAACACATGCAGAATTTTGATAAATTTTCATCAATTCTCATATGGATATCGATAAAATATGTTATAAAAGCGTATGGTCTAATCTATGAAGGATACCAAAAATGTGAATTATTTTGCTACACACTTGGACAGACAATACACGATCCAATTGGAAAGATTAGAATATCAGAAACAATGGAAATTTTGGAAATAAAATATTACATTTATCTATATGTAGAACTAATATAAAAAGAATTTCATACAATAAAATAAAGGAATACTAATGTTTGTGTAGAAAGAATACAAAGTTAAAGTTTCTGTAAAGCAACCTCCTGTTTAAGTTAATAAAAAAAAAATTTTGATATTCTTGATTGCTCTAGATCAATGATGCACTTAATATATTTAAAAAGTTGAGTTTTTGAAAATGAATTTCGTGTAAAATGCGTTAATAAATCAACGACATGAAAACTCAATTAAAAATATTTCACGTGACAAAACGAGTTGTATATGTAATAATGAATAAAAAAATGAGCTTCGTGAAGAGTGAAAATTTTCATTAAAATATATTCAAATCTTCAGCTTATGAAAACATTTTACTAGATTTAACGAGAATTAAGCAGTTATTCATAAAAATAAATTCATATTTTTTGCTTGTCAAAGCGAATGTTATGTTTAATTATGTATCATGTGATAATCTTCATTAAAAGTCAACTCATGCATAAGAATTCGTTCTAAACTTTGGTCCGTGATACGCTCGCTGGAAATTTAATGAAATTCAATGATATTTATTATGAAATCATGTTATAATACCATTCAACGCAAATTTCAGCGTATGTTTCAGCAAAAACATCCGTTAAATGTCTTCTTGTGTTTAAATGATTATCTTCTGCATAGTTATAGCTTCGTTGTTATTGAAGAATAGAAAGTTGGACGTGGCATAAAAAAAAAAGAAAATTTCAAAAGTCTTTGCAGATTTGTGCATTTTCTATTCATATCATGGATTCTATTAATTATTAATAAAAAGAAAAAGAAACATGCTAGAAATGAGAACCAAACTATCACAACTGTTATTGATTTATTTATCATATTTCCATTATTTCCTTGAGTACTCGATTGGTTATTGCTACGTTAGGTTGTTAATATCACTAATGAAGTCGTTGTTGTTCGTTGCATTGCAATCGTTGTTGTTTGTGAAATTGGAACCGTTGTGTTTTCTGTCACTGAAAAATTGATGTTTGAGTTAATAAACGAAATAAAAGAGGGCAATCGTGTATAGACTCCTGGATATCCTGAGTCAGCACATCCTAAACTGTATGATGCTATTCCTGCTAATACCCAACTATCATTAGCAAAAGCCATTAATGGACTACCAATATCACCTGTACATAGACCTGCAAAACATATGCAAAAAAGTATGCTATAAAATAAATATATAATAAAAACCTACCTTTATCACCATTAATAGTTCCCGCACAAAATTCACAGATGAATCGGTTATACGTAATTATTGACATTGATTTGATGTTGATGAAAAAACTTGAACTATTACTTATTGAAGAGAATTAGATAGAAAAATTATTATCAAAATGCATGATAACTTTAATGATTAATGTTTTTTGTACAGTTGTACTGGATGTATCCAATAAATAGTTAGTACCAACAACAATTGATAGTATAGATACATTATTCATAGCTCTAACTACACAACGAGCAGCTGTTACAGCATATTTAGATGTTAAAAAAGTCGCACCACATGCATGTTTACCAGATGCCTGAAGAGAAACGATCCAACCTCATGGATAATCAGATGTTACTTCTTTATCAACGATTCGCGATGTAACATTGGTGGTTGATACTGAACAACTACATGAAATACTTGGATCACATTGATATGTAGCACTATATATCAAATTAATGTAAGAGAATACAACGCATATGAATAATAACCTTGTATACATTATTTTTTAACTGTTACTAATGAATGAAATTTGTTCACACTTTTATAACTTGTTTTGGGAAGTCACGGCTCAATGCATTTAATTATTATTAAATTAACTGCTTTTTCCAATCTAATCACTGATTCATATCTGTAAGAAAAAGAGGAAAAAAATATATAAGAAACCTTTGTTTATAAAAAACTGCATGAGAATACGCTGTCACAAAGATGAACAACAAAAACATGAAAGTAACGAAAGTCTGATTGACATAGTCGTTGGAAGGTAGATAAAAAAAAAACTTTTTTTTAATCGAATGAAACATTTTTTCTATTTGACATTTTATGCACTTTCGAATAAATATTACGTACCTTACATTGCACTTCGTCTTTTTTCTTACTATTTCATATACGAATGCTTTTCTCTCTTATATATAAGAATGATCATGAAGTATGATGTGGTTTAGTTATGTATGGGGAAAGGAAAGACTTTGTCTTGGTGGATAAAAAAGCTGAATTGAAAATAAAAAACAAACAGTTTATATTAATTATTTGTGAGTAATAGATTTTCATCTGCAAACTTCTAAGACATGCACAAGTATTGGAAATATCCATGAATCGTATTGCCGATTATGGTTTTTTCCTAACGTATTTGTTTACGTTATACTTAGTCTTGCGTAGCATCGTTATGTATAGATGTGTTTAGAAGTATCTCAAAGTTATCAGGTTTGGAGAAGGTCCATAACTCAAGCAGTGTTCTATACATGTACGACTTTTCGAAATCAGATCCGCACGGACACTTCTTTTTTTATTTTATATCCGAGCCGGGTGTGGATGTGCGTGGGTGTGGGTTTTAGTTATCCATCCACATCCACACCCACACCCATATGATTTTATACTTCTGTTGCCTATTCTCAAGTACAACAAGTAGCTCAATTATTAGATTGTGAGTGTGGATGAAGAAAAGATCCAGACCGATACCTTGATATCATTATAAATCTTAATACTATTTTTCGAAATCATGAAGTATAGTATATTAATCTTTATACTTTCAAAAGCACTTGCATTGCTCACTTAGAGCGCATATGTACTTAATAGCAATATACAGGAATATTAACGTCTCTAATTATTTTTTTTTGCAATATGATAAAATTAGTAGCAGTTACATTCCGTGGTAAATAGTGCTTTTTCTTTAGTTAGTTTTTCTTGTTTAAAACTTTGTGATGCTTTAACCTCCGCTATTCTTGCAATCGTAAAAAGATTTGTTTAAAATCAAATTAGGGGAAAATACGTTTAAATCAACAGTGTTAATAAGAATGCAATATTTATAGATAAAATATGCGTCTGCTCTACGAGCTATGCTTGAAGTTCGGAAAGCGCATGAAGTGGTATTTTCTGTTTGGTACTCGAAATGGGCACACTTTTTAAAAACATCAATAGTTCGCACTCATGTAACAAGTGTTATTCCCAGAATCAAAGAAAAAACTATTTAGTTGGTTTTTTTTCGCTTTTTCAAAATATTTTTCTTAATTAGTTGCAAAATTTTCTCATCAAGCAAGTACTTAATATTACTTGGTCACTATTTCAGCAAAAATATTTCTGCACAATTGGAAACCCTTTTTGAATAACGCATTTTCTAAGTATTCGTTTGAAGTGCTTCATGAAATAGTGACTTTATGCATGTTACATAGAAAAACTCATCGAGAACTTATCACTAAACTGAGTTCCAGTACGTGGCATGGAAAATTACTTTTAAGTTGTCACTATCCAATCTCTATCTCGATCAATTTATAGGACACTTTCATGCATACATGTTTCTATAAAGGTTTGATCACGTGATTTGCATAGCCGTTTTCGGATTTGCAAAAGTCGAAAAGATTGAAAGATCTAACTTAAAAAGTTCGAATCCAGTCTCTGGCAAAGGAATAGATAAAATTTCAAACTAAAAATTACTTTTGATAGAGTAAGTAATAAAATTGTGATACAATAAAAAAAGAAAGTTACTTAAAAAGGTTCACTTAATAGTGACGTTTCTACTTTAACTAATGTAACTGAAAGTACTTAATAACAACTTATTTACACTCCAAATTTTACATGGATAGGTCTCGATTCCTGGGTGGTTTGGGAATAGAGATGTGTGGAACCAAGGTCTTTTTAGTCTCGGTAACTTCTTTTCAAACTGCTTACCGTCCTGATCTGGAAAAAATTCTTCGAGAATTTATTCGTATTACATCTAAAATAATTCATAAATGCTCGGTTGTTTTAAAATTTATGTAGTCGACGATTAGCAGGTTGTTTTAGACCATCACTCTTGAATTATATTCTTATTTATTTGATTTATAAAATTTCCTTAACAACATAGGATATTTTACTATATTTACGAGTTTTAGGTCTGATCTCAGTAACTTTTTCTTCCTGTGGTCTTGCATATCTTTTTATTCGTGAGATATAAATGTTTTGTTTCTTCTATCATAAAATGCTAATAATTTCTGATGCAAAAGAGACAAGGACCTTTCTCTTATTAGCAAAATCTAGTCCTAACTCTCGTCTATCCGTAATATGAAATTGAAATATTCTCTCTGAAGAGTTTTTTAATTTTTTTATTGTCAAGCTCTATCTTAAGATTGATATTATTTATTTATTGGTTACATTGCGCAACCGAATTTACCTGCATCAGACTAAATATATTTATGTTTACAAACTTTTGCACATACATACAGATACATATATTTTTCTTTAATCTTCTCTCACTTTTTACAATGATTTAAACGTATGATTTTTTCAGATGGCATGACAGTGATACTGATAGAATTTGTTGTCTTGATTTATCTCAATATTATATGTTTAAAATCAATATGAAAAGAGAGAAAAAGTTAAGAAAAAATACATATATTTGTGTGTAAATGCAAATCTTTGTAAACACCAATATATTTAATCTGACGAAGACAAAATCGCTGAGGAAACATAAAGAATAAATAAATAATATCAATATTAAAGAACAGCTCGAAAATAGACACATTAGAAAATTCAATATGACCTTTCGAAAGATCAAAATTAATAGTTCTTAAAAGAGAGAGAGTCATCATCGGTAGGACAATCCAAATCTCCATATAGTTACCAGGAAAATTTTTTTTTTTTGATTTATTTATCTTAGATAAAAGTTCTAGTTAAACCATAGTGAAATCTAAAATATTAGATCATTTGGTTTTATCTATGAAAAAAGACAGTTAAAACAAATTTAAAGCATCTATTTGCACTAGAAAAAATTACTAAACATGGGTGCGTTTAGTATCTTAACAGTTTCTGATTAATGATATGACTTTTTGAGCTCTGAAACATCTCATTTGATGAAGAATAGTCTAGACTGTAAATTCATTCTCGTTGAGTTCGTAATATAAGAAGTTACAAAAACACCATTGACTCAAGAACTTTTTATATTAGACAAAGTAATGCCAAAACAGCGCGTGTTGACAAGATCTATGCCTGGTAAAAAAGAATTGTAGTACCGCATGGGCTACTGACGAAAATGCCAAAATATCATCATCCTGAAAGAGGTAATTTCTCGAATTTTAGACAGTGTTTAACTGATAGTGCTTTGTTAATTCCTTACATTACTAACTCATAGAGAATGAATATACAGCCTAGACTATTCTTTATCACATTAGATGTCCTCGAGCTCAAATGACCGTGCCATTCATGAGAAACTGTTTAAATACTAAATACATCCATGCTTAGCAATTTTTTCTAGACACAATAAATCTTTTAAATTTGTTTTATTTGGCGTTTTTCATAGGTAAAACTGAAGGGCCTAATATTTCAGATTTGACTATGGTTTAACTAGAAGGTTTATCTGAGATAAGGAAGTTGAAAAAAAAAATTCTCAGAAAACTACATAAAGAGAAGAGAAGTCGTGTCGCGGACTCGTAACAATTTCTAACATATATAATCTAGTTTTATTTTGATCTCTGCTATAAAAAAATCAATCATCTGACTATGCATAGTGTTCGATTATTTTCGAAGGTAGGATATAATTAAAAGTCATCAAAAACTGTCTTCGTTAGTCTTTCTGGCAGCCATCAAACATAGGTTGCTGACATCAACAACCATTTGTGATTTTTTGTCTGAGTGACTAAAAGTTGCACTTTCTGTCACGATTTCTCAAGAATAACTTCGAAATTTTCCGGCAGTGGAATCTTCCTCTACCTCTGCCCTAATCGATGCATTATTGCCGTAGTTTGTTGAAAATCTCTCGTAGGAATACTTTTATTTTTGAGAAATAAACATAGCTACAAGGGCAAAAATAATTGTAAATTATTAACTATTGTAATTATTATACTTCTTTTGACTTTAATGACACAAATTGACTACTTTGAGTTAGGAATAAAACAAAAGGCTAAAGAGAATATAATTTAACAAATTCAATGACTTTCATCTCTATTATAGTTTTCCGACTGCATATATATGTGTGTGTCCTCAAAGAGTTCAGTTGGAATAATGAGCGTTTGTCGTAAAACCAACATTTATGTGAAGTACACAGAGCATATGCTAACTTCATAAGCTGATTTATATTATGAACAGGAACAGTTTCGCTTTTATTAAAGAATAAAACAAAATAGGATAGATTTCAAAAAAAGTAACCTAGATTAAAAAAATCAAAAGAAAAATTTTGAAATCTTTGATAAAACCAAAAATTTACTATTTGTATTATACATTATACTATCCATAAGACAATAAAGATGTTAAAAATGAAAACACAAGTATCACAAACGTTATTGATTTATTTATCATATTTCCATTATTTCCTTGACTACTCGATTGATTATAATTATGTTCAATTTTTGATGTCGCTAATGAAACCGTTGTTGTTTGTGTCACTGGAAAATCGACGTTTGAATTAATAAACGAAATAAAATGAGACACTCGTGTATATATTCCTGGATATCCTGCTCGAGCACAACCAATACCGTCTGATGTTATTCCTGCTAATATCCAACGATTATTAACAAAAGCCATTAATGGACCACCACTATCACCCATACATGCATCTACAAAAGCAAAAGCAAAAAAAAAATGTTATAAATTAAATGTATAATAAAAACGTACCTTTACCACCAGCAATAGCTCCCGCACAAAATTGCGCAGATGAATCAACCATACCGGATTCTTGACAATAAGTAGATGTTGATGCAAACTCTTGAACTGTTACTTGTCGAAGATAATCAGATAGAACGTGAACGAATTCTGATTTATAACCCCATCCAATGGCTACAAGATCAGCATTCGTTTGAAATGGATCTTCATCTTGTTTTGGTAAACAAATAAAAGCTATTTTAGAATTTGATGATGTTGTAAGTGGAGAAAATTTAAGAATAGCAATATCATTTCTCCAATCGGATGAAACATAATTAGGATGCCTAGTAATACTAATGATTGATCTTCGTTGAATAGTTGGAATGGATACATTATTTAAATAATTAATGCCAGCAAGAATTGATAATATTGATGTATTATTCATAGCATCATCTACACAATGAGCAGCTGTTACGACATATTCAGATGTTAAAAGAGTTGCACCACATATATGTTGACCATTTTCTTGAAGAGAAACAATCCAACCCCATGCATAATCAGATGCTGCTTCTCCACCAACGATTCGCGATGTAACACTAGTGGTTGATATCGAACATCCACATGAAATACTTGGATCACATTTATATGTAGTACTATATATCAAATTAATGTAAGAAAATACAATGTATATGAATAATAACATTCTATCCATCATTTATGAACTTTTACTCATTAATCAAATGTTTTAACGTTTGTACAGCTTGTTTTGAAAAGTTACGGTGCAATGCACCCATTTATTATACAGTAAATTCGTTTTTCTCTCTCTCTCTCTCTCTCCAACGATTAAATCAAATCTGTAAGAAAAGGAGAAAAAAAAATATACAGGTGAGCACTGATAACGTGCAAAAGTATAAACAAACGCACAATGACATATGATTGATCAAAACAGATACATCAATAATAAAAGTATGTTTACATTGTCGTTGAAGGCTATAGAAGAAAATATGGCTTTTGTTCTATCACATGAAATATTTTTCTCTATTTAACGTTTTTTTATTTTGAATGAATAATACGTATCTTATGATTATACTTAATCCATTTTGTTAATTACTTTACATGGGATTATTTTTTTCTTCTTGTATGTAAGAACGCTAATCAAGTATGGCGTTGTTTATTTATTCATGTTGAAAGAGAAATATGTTTTTGGTGAATAAACAAATCGATTTGAAAATAAAAACGAAAAATTATTATGTTAATTATTTGTGCATAACCAATGTTTAACTAGAAAATTCGAGAACATGCACAACTATTAGAAATGTCTGTGTATCGTATGCTTTACTTTTTTCAACACGATATTTTTATATTTTTCTCAACATCTTATCACGTGATCGATGTTAGTATTCACTTAATTTCTTCGTATACATCGTACGTAGTCTTGTGGAGCATGGTCATGCATAAATTTGTCCACGGATGCCTCCAGGAGATCCGTGACTCAAGTATTGTTTTGTACAGGATACGAATTTTTAAAATCAGATCCACAAGAACACTTCTTTTTTTTATATTCAAGTCGAAACTGGCATCGAGATCAAAGCTAATTGACATTTTGATAGATACTTTCACATTGGCAGTATAGTTTTTAAACTTTTCCTTTGTTTGAAAAATTATAGTACTTAGTTTCTTTCATAAACACAAACAAAAAAGAAGCAATCATCTCAAATTCCACAAAAAAAGTAATTGAATCACTTTGCGTTCTTCTGTTTCTAAAGTCCAACGAATTTTGCTAAGAATACGTTTCCTTGTTGCTGAAGACACAGGAATGGAACGCAGTGTTGATGCCAATCATCACAATTGTAGATATATACATGGATGCTTTTTTTTTAAAAACAATAATAAATATTTGCTTTTTTCATCCTTCTTTCTTTTTCCTCTTCATGTATTCAATTACTTCATCATATGGCTTTGTAGATGAATTTTCATAAAAAAAACTGAATTCTATTAATGTAACAATATCGCTTTCCATTTGTGTGGTCTATTCTCAAGTACAATATATTGCTCAATCATGATTGAACCGAGATTCACTCTTATGCTTTTATATAAATTAGAAAATTTGAAAAAATAAAAATGTTTTCAAATGTCAGTGTCTCATTACTTGCTGAGACGGGTCGATATATGAGTTCATATTGGAGATTTGAATCGAAATTTATTCTCATGCACGGTGTTCGACTCGATTTTGGGGACATTAGTCTCAAATAACTGATTGGAAGATATTTTTCTAAAGTTCATCTGCTTTAGAGGCATGATCGAATGTTGTTTTGGAAGTTCATGATGAAAAAAAAAACAGAATAAACTGCTGAAACACTACCTTACAGAAAAACGAACATTTTTCAAGAATGGGAGTCACACTCTCTCCAGACGTCCCTGTCTATGTTCGTTCTGTTTATATTCTCTTGTCAATTTGATAACTTAGTTCTTCTGATTATTAGCCTTTTATTTACCCTCTGACCAAAAGGTCCTAAAGGGACAGCCATTTAACAACATGCGTACATGATAGTAATAGAAAGAAATACAAAAAAAAGAAACAAGAGCAAACAAAAAGGAGAAAAAGATTT